CCTCATTGTATGGTGTGGCTCCTACCATGCACAGCCTTGAATCTAGACCATTTTGTATGGGGCTCTGTCTCTTTTGGAGACATCTATTTCTCAGTCTTGTTTGTGAATTTATCCAGGACAGGACTTATGTCAGGAGATTTTGTAGAGTATTGATTTACCTTAACCCTTATTACCCTGTACTTTACCTGTGTGATATAATTTGACATCAAAAGTAGGTGAATAGTGAATTAGTGTTGTTGACTTTTGTGGCCCTTTTTTCCTCCCTGTAATCTTGGGCTCAAGCATTCTTTAAGAGCTAGAAATTGTGGAGCAGACTGTGATTGTGATAGATAGTTCCAGGCCTTCTGGATCTACTGGAAAAGGCAAGATAAGACTGAATATTAAGAAGGAAAAAGAAAACAAACCTTAAATAATTTCAGAAATTGATTCTTATAGGCTAAGGATCTTAGATATAGAACACTTAAAAAATTAAAAAAAGAGTCCTAGTTCCTCCTCATTAAAAAAAAGTCCAGGGCCTCCCCGGTGGCGCAGCAGTTGAGCGCTGGGTTGCGAAGCTGCCCGCGGCCTCTGCGGTGCCGGTTCGATCCCCGGCTGCTTCCCGGCCACCAGAGGAGGGTCCCACATGGCGCGCAGACCTCTCCTGCCGCCCGCTGCTCCCCTCAGCAGTGTACTTCGGTCCTTCTGCCTGCTCTGCTCCCGGCTCTGGCTCTGGTGAATTCTCTCACCCTCCCGCGCTTCTGACTGTACCCAGTGCATGTATAAGCAAAACAAACAAACAAAATAAATAAATAAAACATGCCTCTATAAAAAAAAAAAAAAAAAAAAAAAAAGTCCAGTAAAATTTATGTCCACTTTAGGTGACCCAAATGATTCATGGGTCATTTGTTAGCATATGACTGAGGAGTATCCAGGGACCCGAAACTATTAAGGGGTGCAGGCTCTAAAAGGGATTCTGCCATCTGCAGCATAAAAGGCAAAGGATACATCATCTTAGTATGTTGAACCTTTAATAGAAGTGTGAATAGAGAGAGGAGGGGAAAAAAGGATATTCTTAATAAAAGTTTTCCAAAAAAACACCCCAAATTACCCATCTTCTCATGGGCAAATACTCACTCAAACAGTGTTGGCCTGAAGTGGGTCTGTTGAGGCCCAAAAGCCAAAAGCTTGCCATAAGTCTGAGGCACCTTCTTGGGGGGAGGTGAAGGAGATAGCAAGAAAAGGCTAAGGTAGGCCCCAGAAATCTAGGACAAAAGGAAAAACCAAACTCAAAGTGCAAATTAAGAACAACAGCTGCCATAGTCCCTGCAAAAGATTAGGAGCAGTGTCTCTGACTCTGTTACCTACCTCCTTTCTGAAATGTCTCTACATATCTTCCCTCCATGTAGCTCCTTCTATGTCTCTTCTCCAAGTTCCTGGGTGCAAGTTAAAGATATAAAAGCAAGAGTTCCTAGAGTGAGTGCATCTGCCTTTCATGTTATAAAGCTTCACCTGGTGACTTAGCTCTGCCCCTATATCCCAGGAGCTACCTACATACATACTACTCAGGAAGTCCAATTCATGGCACAGTGGGACCTGTGATCCAAAATGGCTACATGTAAGTGGGGTTGGAGGAAAATGGCACCATCCTTTCACAGAGGTGTATCTGTAACAGTTTTAATAGTTGTTAGGCTTGTCAGCACTCAGATTCCCTGGAAATGAGTCATTTGCATGGAAAGTTATTCTTTAGAATCTTCTAAATAAACCTTTGAGGTTTATATCTGCTAATTTTGAATCCAGACTAAACAGCCTTGTTTCTCTAATTTTACAATCTAATTATTTTGGTGTTTCAGTGAGTGTAGAATTTAGTATGCTTGATAAAAAACATAATAAAAACCAAGAAAGAAAACCAAATCATTTTTTCATTTCTACTGAGAATTGATTTTGAGAAAATGTATTTAGGATTAACAGGAAAGAAGAATCGCTGGAGAGGCCTTTGTAGCTTTTAAATTGGGTTAGTGAAAAAAAAAAAATAAGGCTACAGGGATATTAGTGTGTTTAAGGCACCCTGGCCACGTCAAACTAAAAAGTAGAAGCTACTTCTGTGTTTCATGAGGAAAATGGAAATGTTGGATTTAGAGAAGGGTTTGTTACAGGGCAGGGAGATGGGCACTCCCAGAGCCCCCAAACCTGTCTGCTCTGAATAGGTTCTGCCATCCACTGCATCAAGACAAAACATAAAAGACTTTTAACACAATTAGTGAACAATACTGAAAAGACAAAGAAAATAGCTTTTAAATCAAACGCTCACAGTTAACCATCCCCTCATGGGTAAAAGTCCACCCAAACAGGATTGGCCCAGAGCAAGGCCCTAAAGCCTGCCCCAAGTCTAAAGCATGGAAAAGGGACCCATGGAAAAGTGTCAGAAACAGCCAGACAAGTCTGGGAGGAAAAGAGCAAAATAAAAATCAAGATAAAAGCTGCCACAGTTAACCTCACCACGGATCTCTCATCCACATCTGTTTCAAACAGTCCAGGACCAAGAAGCAAGCACAGTTTCTTCACACAGCTTTCTGCTCCATGAGCCTCCTTCAGGTCTCCTTCCTGCTCTCCAGCTTTTCTTCCCCAGTCTCCTTTACAGATTCTTCTCCTCCCTGCTCAGCTCCACCCTCCTTTGGGTGGGGCAAAGAACCTGGACTGGAACCTCCCTGGACTGGCACCACCCTGTTGTTGTGGGTTCTCCTAGAATACTAGCTTCTCAGGATTTAATTGACAGCACTTTCCAAGAATCTGAAATGAAACAGGGCAGGACTTTCTCATTCTTGCTCAGAAAGGACAGGTAACTGGGATCTATGGTTGCCTCAAATATATTTATTTAGTATCTACTTCTATCAGGTACAGGTAACTTACCAGGTAAGGGGTAAGATGGAGGAGAGACAGTAAAGACTCAGACAAAGTTAATCTGCCCAAGCCTATTAGGAAGTTCTGAGAGAACTAGATTTCCAACTTCATGTATGTACTTGGCAGTGTACCAAGCTGCCTGAAACATCAGACAGCTTATCTTATCAAGTAAGACAGTGATGACTCTAGGGCCAAACTTTCCCATTAAGGTAGAATGCACCTTACAGACTTGTGGGAGGGCTTACAAAAGGCAATATTTGCATTTTCTTTTTTTTTAAATATATTTTTTACATCATTTTTCAATTTTGCACAATGCATGCATTTTCATCTTGGTTATAGTCCCCATATAATTCCACCCCCCTTATTTTGATCCTAATCCCCCCCTCTGGTGTATAGTTGCTTTTTGATTTTGTTTTTGATTTTCACTTTATTATAATTAGTCTTTTTCCTGGTCCCTTATTTAGGTTTTCTAAATTCCTGCTATGAGTGAGACTGATGCCGGCGTGTGAAACAACTGCTGCCGCTTTACCACGAGTTCTTGTCTCGCGAAACCGTAGAAAGGAATTCACAGACTTTTGGAGTAAGTAAGCAGAGAGAGACAAATCTTGTCTTTGAAAGAAAAGTTTATTTAGGAAGAAAAGAGACAAAGAAGAAAGACTCCCAGGTATAAAGTACCTGGGAGGGGCCAAGATGAGCCGGTATGGGATATTATGTTGGCAATATATACTTTCTCTCCCTCATTATGTTTAAATTTTACTCTTTCTCTCCCTGATTGGTTAACTCCCAGAGGGTACTAAGCAAGGAATTTCACATTCCTTAACAGTATTTTCTTTCCCCATCTGTTATGCTTATCGCTTTACCTTTATGGTCTAGCCCTCCCGGTGAGCATCTTTACACTTCATCTTATCATCTGAAGAAAACCAGGACCATCCTTAACAAGATTACCTGTGGTGCTAGGATGTTTGTTTTCCCCTAGTGTTTAACAATGGTGTTTGTTTTTCCCAGTGGAATTGGTTGCATTTCCTTGGTTATGCTTATCTCTGAAGCCTTCCTGATTTCTTCAGAGGTCCCCCTTCCTGCACTATCCCTAAAACTGCCTAATAACCCTAGCTTGCCCTGTCTCAAGACCATTCGGTATTTTTTTTTTTTTCCTTTCTGGCTTATTTCGCTGAGCATGATCCCTTCCAGCTCCATCCATGTTGCTGTAAATTGAGTGAGTTTATCTTTTTTGATTCCTGAGTAATAATCCATTGTGTATATGTAGGGTACCACATCTTGATTCAATCATCTATTTTTTGGCATTTGGGCTGTTTCCATAGCTTAGCTATTGTCAATAGTGCTGCTATAACACTTGCATTTTCTTAAGACTGGGGCAAAAGTGCTTACAGTAGGACTTAGGAAATCACAAAATACACCAAAAAATCTTATAGAACTTAACATTTAAAATTGCCCTTAGAACAAAGTCTTTTATTTTTTCCAACTGCAAATCACTAAAAATGCATTAAAAAGGTAACATTCTTGATTGAAATTAAGAGGATAAGTGAAAGAGCAAAAAGAAGTTAAAGAAGGGCCTCCCCTGATGGCGCAGCGGTTGAGCGCTGGGTTGTGAAGCCGCCCGCAGCCTCTGCTGTGCCGGTTTGATCCCCGGCTGCCAGCGAGGGTCCCACATGGCGCGCAGACCCCTCCTGCCGCCCGCTGCTCCCCTCAGCAGTGTACTTCGGTCCTTCTGCCCGCTCTGCTCCCCGCTCTGGCTCTGGTGAATTCTCTCACCCTCCCTCGCTTCTGACTGTACCCAGTGCATGTATAAATAAATAAGTAAATCTTAAATTAAAAAAAAAAAACACGAAAAAAAAAAGTTAAAGAAAGAAGGAAGTTAAGAGAGAAAGAAAAACAGACGGCAGCATTCGAGGCACCTCTCAGCCCCACCTCTACCCAGATCCGGGGAAAAGCAGCTGCACGCCCAGCCCTGGGGCAGGACCGCACCCCAGCGCGCCCAAGGGACCCTCGCTCTAGCCCCACCTCCGTCCAGCTGGACTCCACCCCACCTCCGTAGCTCAGCGCCACAATCACGGCGGATCGAGGCGGGACTTCCGGCATTTGAAAAACTTCCGGCGGGAACCGGAAGACGCGGCCACACAGCATCCTGAGCCTTCTGACACGCCTGGTGGGAAGGTGAGCTGAGGTCCGCCTTGGCGGGCGTCCTGCGGGCTCGCGCTAGCCCTGTGCCCGGGCTCCGGTATTTTTGGGGCCTCTTAAAAAGTTCCGAGCGCTCATTTAGGAGATAATCCCTTTTAAAGAGAGAAGTCTTGTTACATTCACTCTCAGCGGTCTGTAGCTCAACCTGCACGGGAAAATCCCTCCTTGCTGCCGCGTGTCACCTGGCGCGTCTGTGTCAATTGCAGCAGCTCCTAGTGCAGAGGGGCACACGCGGGAAAACCCGGGAAGCCCACGTTGTTTTCCTATTTCAGATTACGGAGAAGGGGGAAGGAAGCACCCTGTTAGATCACAGTCCTGTTCGAACCAACAGCATCCTCAGCAGTGTGCGTGGCATATAGGAGGCGCTGAATAATTGAAAGTGTTATAGAGCAGCCCCGATATTAAACGGGTTCCTGGCTGTGGGTCCTCACCCGCGCGCTTTAAAGGGACTTATGAATACTCTACTACAGACACACAAAAGGTTAATAAAAGGTTTATTTGCAAGAGAAAAGGAAATAAGGAAAATGTACAACTCAGGGGGAAAATAGGGAAATAAAGTCTTTAATGCGTCCTACCCGATCCGACGACCTGGAAACCCAAAGTCACTCTCAGAGCTGGCCGGACGCTGGGAGCTGGTGGAGAGCCAAAAATGGGGGATCCTCCAAAGCCCACGTGTCTGCCTTTTAGATCCACCTGGCTGCTTAACCCCACCCTCAGGTCCCAGCCACCTTCCCTTTGGTGGTGATGGGATTTGGAGTTCCCAGTGTCTTTGACTTTGACCTAGGGTGGGGGTGGAGTCCACAAAGCCTGTATGGAATTATCTTTGGGACATCCTTTTCCCCCTAACAAAAGGAATGAATGGGAAGCTCTAAGGCTTCCCTCCAACCTCCCACGCCACAGCCTGTCTCCACAGTAATGTATGTGGAATAGGAAACGACCCTACAATAGGTGTTTGGAGTTCTGAGTTCTGAGTTCTAGTTCTTCCCTCTTCTCTTTGAGTAAACCTTTTCACCTCCCTGGATCTCACGCTTCTTATAAAAGCAGGGCTATGATTTCTGATACTTTCCAGCACTAGTATTTAATTTTTATAATTAGTTAGCAATCTGTACTGACATTCCAAACACTTCTTTTGATACCCTCAGGGAAACTTCTTTAAGTGCTTCCTTAAAAGTTGTTCCCCTCCTAAAATTTCTAATTGTAGTTTGTCCAATTTAATGTAATATTTATGTGTGTGCAGTTCTCTACTCTTTTCCCCTGATTTGCACTTGTCCTGGTTTAGTGCCTCTTAGTAACATCACAGCAACCTTCAAATTACTGATTTTGAATGTGCTTATGTGCCCACAGTGACATGACAGCTTGGAATGAAGGGAAATTTCAACCTACCAGGGATAGGAATGCTCTTGTGTAAAAGTAAATAGGGTCGTGTATTTATATCTGAAAATCCCATTTTACACCTAAAACATTGAGATCTAAAAGATGAGAAGGCTCCAACCTATTGATTAGCAGGGGAAATAGTGCTCCAGTTTGAGTGAACAGACTGTAATAAAAATATCATGCTTGTTACAGGGACTGAAAGAACATTGTGACTGTATCACTAGGAGCGTCATCCAGTGGTATATGTAGTTAGCAAGGTAGGTAGGGTCAGCCCTCCAGTGTATTTTAGAAGGTCATGGTAAAAAAAAAAAAAATGTTTTCATTCTATGTGGAAGATGGAGTGCCCTGCAAGTCTTTGAATAGTTTTTAAACCTTTTCAAAATGATCTTTTGGACTGATATGGGGGAGAATGGATTGTCAGGGCAAGAGTCTTTTTAGCTCTTTTGCCTATTTTTTGACTGGGTTGTTTACTTTGTTATTGTTGAGTCATGTGAGTTCTTTGTAGATCTTTGTGTTCAGTCCCTTATCAGTTGTATGGAGTGCAAAAATTTTCTCCTAATCAGTAGGGCATCTCTTTGTTTTGACTAATGTTTCTTTTGCTGTACAGAAGCTTTTTTTTTTTTAAAGATTTATTTTTATTTATTTATTTATACAAGTACTGGGTACAGTCAGAAGCGCGGGAGGGTGAGAGGAGATTTCACTAGAGTCAGAGCGGAGAGCAGAGCAGGCAGAATGACGAAGTACACTGCTGAGGGGAGCAGCGGGCGTGGTAGAAGAGGTCTGCGCGCCATGTGGGACCCTCTCCCGGCTGCCAGGGATTGAACCGGTGCTGCAGAGGCTGCGGGCAGCTTCGCAACGCAGCACTCAACTGCTGCGCCACCGGGGAGGCCCTACAGAAGCTTTTTAGTTTGATATAATCCCAGCTGTTTATCTTTTCCTTCACTTTCTTTGCTTTGTGGGATGAGTCTTTAAAGATGTTACTGAGATGTATGTCATGTAGTGTTTTACCTGTATTTTCTTCTACATATTTTATGGTTTCAGGTCTTATGTTCAATTCTTTTATCCATTTTGAGTTTTTTTTTAAAGATTTTTATTTATTTATTTATATAAGAACCGGGGTACAGGCTAGATGCAGAGGAGGGTGAGAGGATTTACCAGAGACAGAGTGGGGAACAGAACAGGCAGAGTGACAAAATGCATTGCTGAGGGGAGCAGCGGGCGAGACAGGAGAGGTCTGCTGTGCCATGTGGGACCCTCGCCCACCGACCGGGATTGAACCCGCGCTGCAGAGGCTGCAGACAGCTTCACAGCACTGCGCTCTACTGCCTGAGTTGATTTTTGTGTACGGTGTGAGGTAGTGGTCTAGTTTCATTCTTTTGCATGTGGTAGTCCAGTTTTCCCAGCACCATTTATTGAACAAACTGTCCTTATTCCTTTGCATATGCTTTGCTCCTTTGTTAAGGATTAGTTGTCCATATATGTGTGGTTTTATTTCTGGGCTTTCTATTCTATTCCATTGGTCTGTGAGTCTGGTTTGTTCCAGTACTATGCTGTTTTAATTATTATGGATTTTTAATATAGTTTAAAGTCTGGGAGTGTGATAGCTCCACCTTTTTTGTCAGGAGAGCTTTGGCTATTTGAATTTTTTTTTTTTGTGCCTCCATATGAATTTCATCAATATTTGTTCTATTTCTTTGAAGAATATCATTGAGATTTTTATTTGATTGCGTTGGATCTGTAAATTGCTTTTGGTAGGATGGCCATTTTAATAATGTTAATTCTTCCAATCTGTGAGCAGAGGATGTGTTTCCATTTCTTTGTGTCTTCTATTTCTTTTAACACTGTTAATAATTTTCTTTGTATAGGTCACTCACTTCCTTGATTAAGTTTATTCCTAGGTATTTGATTTTTTTTTGTTTCAATTGTAAATGGGATGGTTTTCTTAATTTCTTCATATTGATTGTTTGCATATAGGAAGGCTACTGATTTTTGTGTGTTGATTATTTATCCTGCTCCTTTACTAAAATTGTTTATTAGTTTAATTAGTTTCTCGAGTTGTCTGTATATATTATCATATTGTCAGCAAATAATGATAGTTTACTATCATTTCTTCTTTCCCTGTTTGAATTCCTTGTATGTCTTTCTCTTGTCTTATTGCCCTGGCTAGGACCTCCCGTATTATATTGAAAAGCAGTGATGAGAGTGGACATCCTTGTCTTGTTCCTGATCTTAAAGGAAAGACTTTCAGCTTTTCATCTTTGAGAGTAATATTGGCTGTGGGTTTGTCATATATGGCTTTTATCATGTTAAGGTATGTTCCTCTATCCCGAGAATTTCTAGGGAGGGCCTTCATTTAAATGGATGTTGAACTTTGTCAAATGCCTTCTCCACATCTATTGATATGATCATATGGCTTTTTCTTTTTCTTTTTTTTTGATGTGTTGGATTAATTGATTTTCAGATATTGAACCATCCTTGTACCCCTGGAGTACCTCCCACTTGGTTGTGGCATATTATCCTTTTGATGCATTGTTGTATTCTTTTGGCAAGGACTTTATTGAGGATTTTTGCATCTGTGTTCATTAGGGAGATTGGCCTATAGTTTTTTTTTTTTTTTTTCTCCAAAGATTTATTTATGCATACAAGAGCTGAGGTACAGGCCAGAGATGCAGGGGATGAGAGGACTCACCAGAGACAGATGGGGAATAGAACAGGCAGACTGACTGAAATACACTGCTGAGGGGAGCAGCGGGCAAGACAGGAGAGGTCTGCTGCACCATATGGGTTGCTCCCTGGCCAGCCAGGGATCAAACTTGTGCTGCAGAGGCTACGGATTGCTTCATAGTGCGGTGCTTAACCCCTTGTGCCACCTGTGAGGCCCTATAGTTTTCTTTTTGTATGTTGTCTTTGTTTGGTTTTGGTATTAGTGTAATGTTGGCTTCATAAAACGTATTTGGTAGCATTCCTTTCAATTTTTTGAAAGAGTGTAGGATAGGTACTAACTCATCTCTGAATGTTTGGTAGAGTTCATTTGTGAAGCCGTCTGGTCCTGGACTTTTGTTTTTGGGGAGGCTTTGATTACTATTTCAATTTCACTGCTTATAATTGGTCTGTTTACATGTTCTATTTCTTCTTTATCTAGTTTTGGATGATTATATTGTTCTAGGACTTTGTCCATCTCTTCTAGATTGGTGAACTTGTTTCCATATAAATATAGTAATCTCTGATTATTCTTTTGATTTCTTCTGACTTTTGTATTTTCTCCTTTTCATTTATGATTCTATTTATTTGTATTTTCTCCATTTTTTCTTTGTGAGCCTGGCTAGAGGTTTGTCTATTTTGTTTATTTTTTCAAAGAACCGACTTTTGGTTTTGTTGATCTTTTGGATTGTGTTTTTAAAATTTCTGTTTCTTTCTTTTTTTTTTTTTTTTTTGGCTTTCTCATGCTTTTATTGAGCTTTACATGCATTGCAGCAATGAGCTACACAGCAGGCAGGGATGTTAGGGGGGTAGGAGGCCTACAAGCCCGTGCCGCCCCCCCCCCACCCCCTGCCCAGCAAGTCTTCATACTGGACTTCTCTGGCCTTCTTTTTCTCTCTCTCTCCAGCCTCTCTCTTGCTTCTGCTTCTCTCAGGTGACTGCCTCAATATTTCTCCCATGGCCCACAGAAGTAAGTCAGTTAGCAGCAATGTAACAACTGCAAGTGCCCCATCAGACAGGACAAACCTAATGGTGGGAGGGCAGAAAAGCCTGAAAAATCATTTACCGTACAATCCACCCCATCAGGGTTTTCTGCCATACTATATATATATATATACACATACACACAATTTTCCCTTAACAAACATAAACAATGCAGCCATGGCCCACACAAGAAAATGCAACTGAATAATGAAACAATGCAACATAGCAATTAATTCCAGTCAGGGCACCAACCTAGTAGCAAAAGATAATTATTGGCACTAGCAGATGATCCACCACTTCTGCTGCTGAAGGCACTGCTCATATGAGGAAGGGGTTTTTGCTTTTGATTTTAATTTTTTCCTTTCTTCTACTTTTTTTTTTTTTTTTGTTTGTTCTTTTTCTAGTTCTTTGAGATGGGAGATTAGGTTGTTTCTTTGAGTTCTTATTTCTTGATGTGAGCCTGTATTGCTGTATACTTTTATTACTGCTTTTTGCTGTGTCCCATACATTCTGGAAAGTTGGTGTCCTCATTGTCATAGGGTGGTCAGATTCTCCAGAGAAGAGCCTTTTTATTGTTCTTGGAGGGTAAGGACCTGACTAGCAGCTTTTTGAGGCTGAACGAGAGAAGAGGACTGGGGTCTCTGCATTTATTATTCAATCTGTACGGTCCCTATGACCACAGCTGTATTTGGTATTCTCTAGGCTACAGACTCTGTTTTACCTTTTCCTTAGAATAATGCCCCAGCTTTTTCTGGGGGCAGTTGTGTACTAGCATGAAGTGTAGTAGGGTACCTAGTACTCTATCTCAGATAGCTTACACTCAGCCTTTATTCCCTTTACCCTTAATTTCAAGATATCAGGCACTTATTTTTTTGAGGAAATTGGAGAATAAATTGATTTGATTCACAAATGTTCCTACTGCTGGTTTGGGATTTTAATGTTTAGGTAGTAAAATCTGTTAATCATTTTGGGTCATGCCTAGAAAATCTCTGCTCTCCCACCTCCAATCAAATTATGAAGGTAATCATCTTTAATTTTAGTGTACTTTTGTAGTGTCTTTTTTTTTTGGTACATTTTAAATGATTAGTCAATGTGGAATTTATTTATGTTGTGGAGGTAGAAATTAAACACTTTTTTTTTTATCCAGTGGGCTAGCTGGTTGTCTTAATGCCATTTATTGAATAATCCATTTTTACCCTGTGTTGAAATGCCATCCTATCATATACTAACTTTCTCTGCTTTATTGTGGTAAATATATAACATCAATCACAAGTTACTTGTTCTTTATGGTCAGTGTCTAGCAGCACTTATGTGATCTATATAACATAAAATCCAAAAAGGGGTGAAGGAAAGGTGGAAGATTATTTTATCTACTTCCTAGGGATTGTTTTCCTATTCCCTCTGGGTTCTCCTGCTCTGCACTGATTGGATTGAGTTGAATTATAGCAACTTGGAGCACACGTTCCATTTTGTGACAACGTCTGTGGAATTTCAATGAGGCACTGCTTTCTCTTCCAAGTAGAGGTTAGAACCAGAGGCATTATAACACCTCACTGGTTTAGAAACTTGTTTAAGAGTTCCCAGCTTGTCAGAGTACTGTGTAGTTTTTATGGTTTCACATTCATTCTTTAGGTAATAAAACATCAGCTAAGTAAATTTGTTTACTTTCTGTACTATATAATGCCTCTTTTGTCTTTTTTTTTTAAAAAGATTTATTTATTATTTATGCAAGCACTGGGTACAGTCAGAAGCGCAGGAGGGTGAGGGAATTCACCAGAGCCAGAGCAGGGAGCAGAGCAGGCAGAAGGACCAAAGTACCAAACGGCGCTGCGGAGGCTGCGGGCAGCTTCGCAGCCCAGTGCTCAACCGCTGCGCCACTGGGGAGGCCCTGCCTCTTTTGTCTTAATTATTTTTTACAGCTGGGCTTTTTAATAAATATTTTCTAATGGTATCAATGATTGTTTTATTTATTATAAATGTTTATTATAAGGAAGTCTTGTTTTAAGAATAACCTGGCTGCTTATCAATCAGCATCATTTGTCAGCTCTGTAGTAGACCTCTATACTGCAAGAACATACAGAAAAGGAAAAAATATTTCCTGTTTTTAATATACAGCTTATTAAAAGACTTTATAATTTGCTCTTTGATAAACCATCAAATACACTTGCTAAAAACCCCTGAGTATTGTCACCCTATGGGAGCTTATATTTTTTAAAGGATGGCCCACACTTAACCAGGATTTTGAAACCATTGGAAAGCTATTAACTGCTCACGTAATTGGGAAATAGAGGAAAGCACTGTTTGGACTTGTGAATGATCCACATTTCTTTTCTTATGACATTTTCTAGCATCAAGACTATTGGAGTGTTAATTTTGAAAAGTACATCATTTTATAAACAAAACAAGAGATCAGTCATTCAGGTAATTCAGATTGTGCTGATTTCATGTTCTGTTTCTTCTAGATGTCAACATTGCCAAGAAGAGCCAAAGTAAAGGTTCAGACTGTGGAATCCAAAGATGAATTTTCTTCCTTCTCTGAGTTGTAAGCATATTACTTTAATATGGGGGTGCAGAATGATGTATACTTTAAGAAGTAATACATTCTATCACTCATATTTGGGACTCAAAGTTTAGTGTGTGATTAAGGAGCTACCATGGACCTCAAACTTAAGGGGGTGCATGTTCTAAAGGGAATCTGGCCATCCATGTGCACATAGGCAAAGGAAGCAGAATTTTAATGTGAAAAATCTTTGATAGAATTAGTGTGCATAGAGAGAGAAGAGACAAAAAGATCTTCCTAATAATACTTTCCCAGTAAAACTTCCCAAATTACACAGCCCTTCATGGGCAAATGACTAGCCAAATAGGGTTGACCTGAAGCAGGGCTGCTGAGATCCAAAAACTTGCCACAAGTCTCAGGTTTCTTCTGGTGAGGAGCAGCCAGGCAGGGGTAAGGCAGTTCTGGGACAAAAGGAGCCAAATCAAGATTATGACTGCCATTGTCTCTGCCAAGGACAGCCACCTCATGTGTCTCTCTCACCCTCATGTCTCTTTCATGTGTCTCTACATGTCTCTATGCATCTCCTTCCAAGTTCCTCAAGTCCCAGGGTGCAAGTCAAAGCTGGAAAGGCAAGAGCCTCACAATTCACTTGCCTTCCAAGTTATATAGCTTAATTTGGCCACTCAGCTTCACCTGTTCCCAGTAGCTACTCTTGTGCTCAGGAAGTCTGGTTCATGGCACACTGGAACCTGTAGTCCAAGATGGCTGCATTAAGTGGTGGCTGGGAAAATGGCCCGTCCCCATCACAGAGGTGTATCTGTAACGAAAAGAAATCATCCTGTACCCCTCTGGGGTATTCTAGACTGGTAAATCATTGAACAAGCATCAGGCAGATTGATGACAGAAAAAGCAAAAAGAAGTTTAAAATAACATGTATACCTCTATTATATGTGGGAAAGACCCATCATGACTGAGTAACTCATCCTCATGTGTTTAGATACCATTTTAAATAGCATAGCTAGGACAAAGAAGGTTGTGGGAAGAAAGTAGAAGGCAGAAGGCATGCTTATAGAGTGAAATTTAGAAATAAACATCAAAAGCAACATCCACCCAGTCTTCACGGTCCCTCCCAGAAATTAACCTTTTGCCAAAAAGATGTGGCTAGGGGTGGCAGATTTTTGCTCCCCTACACTTTTTTTTTTTTTTAAAGACTTATTTATTTACTCATGCAAGAGCTGGGCTATAAGCCCAAGGTATGGGGTGGTGAGAGAATTCACCAGAGACAGAGTGGGGAACAGAACAGGCATATTAACTGAAATACACTGCTGAGGGGAGCAGAAGGTGAGACAGGAGAGGTCTGCTGCGCCATGTGGGTTGCTCCCTGGCTGGGGATTGAACTCATGCTACAGTGGCTGCGGCTAGCTTCATAAGTTGCATCTTAACCCCTTGCACCACCAGGGAGGCACTCCCCTATACTTTTTTTTTAAAAATTTTTTTTTTATAGAGGCATGTTTATTTATTTCTTTATTTCTTTATTTGTTTGTTTGTTTTGTTTATACATGCACTGGGTACAGTCAGAAGCGCGGGAGGGTGAGAGAATTCACCAGAGCCAGAGCGGGAGCAGAGCAGGCAGAAGGACCGAAGTACACTGCTGAGGGGAGCAGCGGGCGGCAGGAGAGGTCTGCGCGCCATGTGGGACCTCCTCCGGTGGCCGGGGAGCAGCTGGGAATCGAACCGGCACCGCAGAGGCCGCGGGCAGCTTCGCAACCCAGCGCTCAACTGCTGTGCCACCGGGGAGGCCCTCCCCTATACTTTTTGACTTATTAAATTTTTTGGGTTGAATATGGTGAGCCTTATTCATTCATTTATTCAACAAATATTTCGAGTGCTGTGTCCCAGACTGGTGATAAATTGTTGAACAAAGAGAGAGAAAGTAACCAATTAAATACATACAATAATGCTTGCGCTAGAACTTAAGCTCTACAGGAGCAGGAAGTTTTTTTATTTATTTTTATTTTTTATTGCTTTAGATTAGAGTTCTCTCACTTAAGCACTGTTGACATTGTGGGCTGGATGATTCCTTCCCTTGCATTGTAGGATGTTTTACAGAACCTCGGTCTCTACTCACTAGATGCCAGTATCTCTCTCCTCCCACTCCCCAGTAGTAACAATCAGAACTATCTCATACTTTTCCATCACCAGTTATCCTGGGAGTAGACAGGGTTGTTCCCAATTGGGAACCTCTGTTTTTGAGCACAGTAGGTGCCCTGGAGATAATTATTATAAGTGACTAATTAATGCTAGGCAATAATAAGTAATGTAAAGAAGAATAAAGTAGGGCAAGGGGTTGTGGGACACTTTAGATACATAGTTAGAAAGTTCTTTTGAAGAATGTGACAAGAAATCTAAATGAGATTTGCAGGTGTAACTTGCAAAGAACTAGGGGATGGGTGTTGAGGGAGCAGCAAATGCAAGGACCGACCCTATGGTAACAATGAGTTTGGTGTCTTCAGTGACTAGCAAGACTAATGTGCCAGACCAGAGACCAGGTAGAGAGTAATTGGAAGTGAGCAGGGAGGATGGATAGACTCTAATAGTCTATGGCAGGGTGTTAGGATTTTATTCAAAGTGGGTTGGAAGCCACTGGACAGATTTTGGGCAGGTATATGACATGATATGGTTTATAGTTAGAAAAGATCATTCTGGCTTCTTGGTGGAGAACAGACTGTAGGGAAGCAAGAGTGGAAGCAGGAGGATCAGTTAAGGAGATTCTGGTAGAACCTAGGATCCTAAAAATGAGAGTGGTGAGAAGTGGTCTAATTCGGGATACATTCTGAAGATAGAGAGGATGTGCTGGTGAATTAGATTTGGGGTATCATGGAAAGACAGGAATTTTGGGAAGACTCAAGTGGAATGGGTGAAATAGCCTAGTTAAAAGAAATTGCCAGCCAGGGGCCTCTCCGGTGGCGCAGTGGTTGAGTGCTGGGTTGCGAAGCTGCCCGCGGCCTCCGCGGCGCCGGTTCGATCCCCGGCTGCTCCCCCCACAGAGGAGGGTCCCGCATGGCGCGCAGACCTCTCCTGCCGCCCGCTGCTCCCCTCAGCAGTGTACTTCGGTCCTTCTGCCTGCTCTGCTCCCGGCTCTGGCTCTGGTGAATTCTCTCACCCTCCTCCCAAGCTTCTGACTGTACCCAGTGCATGTATAAACAAAAACAAACAAACAAACAAATAAATAAATAAAACATGCCTCTATTAAAAAAAAAAAAAAAGAAATTGCCAGCCAGTGGGATGATTTGTCCAACTCCTGTTTAAAGAGGTGGACTAAATCATGGATTGGCAAGCCCTTCCAAACAGTTTTGCCCACCACACTGACCATGAGGTGCCATGCTAGACAAAAAGCGTAAAATTTTGACTAACGGTTATCTCACACTTTTCTGGAAGGAGAAGGCCAAGAGCCCTCATGTGCAGTTAGTGTAACCTGTGTGCTCATGCCTGGGGGTAGCCCAACCTAGAATAAGCTATGATGCTGCTCTCCTCCCTACCTTCTGAACTCCCCCTTGTAAATGTCTTCCTAACTGCCTTTGAGGAGCCAGACTAAAATTCTTATCCCTGCACTAGCTGCCTCAGGCCTGAGTATCTAATAAAGCCTGCTTGGTTCAACTATACCCAGTGTTCTCTGGTGAATTCTTTCCCTGGAGGGCAAAAGACTCACTCTTTTCTATCAGGGCCTGTAACACATGTCTGAGGTGGGGGTGAAATCAAGACTTCTATTTTGGACACGGAAGTTTGAAATGATTACTAGACAAGTGGATATATAAGTCTTGAGCTCAGGTCAAGTTGGGGTTATAAAATTGAGATTACTCTGCAGTCAGCTATAGCATGAGATAAGGGCATCTAGTAAGAGTGCAGAGAGAAGAGAAGAGTGCTGAGGACTAAGCCTTGAAGGGTCATGACAATGAAATGGTGGGGAGAGGAGATGTCTGTGAAGAGACTAAAGAGAAGCTGACAGGGAAACAGGAAGAAAACCAGGGGAGTGATGTGCTGTGAGGCGTAAGTACCAAATGCTGCTGCCAGGTCAAGTATGATTAGAAAGCGGAGTTCACTATCTGCCTCAGGACTGCCTCATATGTGATAATATAATACCTGCACTTACGTGATAACTGAAAGTAGTTGTGTTTGTCATGTAATCTTGGCAATATTCCTGTATAAATAGGTTAGTAGTCCTGCTTGACAGATGATGAGACTAAGGTAGAAAGAAGTCATTCTGCTCATTTTGGTGAGAGTATGAGCTGTGGAATGATTTCCTTATTCCTTGATTTTTTAAATTCTAGGTTCTTTCACTGACATTGTTATTGTATTATGTTAGTTTAATGATTTCCCTGTGGTTTTTGCCTACTCTTAGGCTTTGGTTAGTATCCACCTTTGAAGAGAGCTCACTTACAAACTTATCAGTTGCTTGACCTATCATAATTATATATTATGTTTTTTAGGGCGTAACTTAGCTAAGAGGTCATGCAATCAGGTTTTTGCTTCCAAAAAGACCATTCAGAAACCCAGATATTCCTGTTCTCTAGTTTCTGTGCAGGAAGTGGTTGTCCATTCCAGCTAGCATTAGCCTTTAACTTTAGGGGAAGAAATGGAATTAGGTGGGTTGGCAGGAGTATGATGTCCTTTTACCAGAATTCATATAACAGCTTTTTCTCTGCTCTTGCTGTGAGTTTGATTCTTGGGTTGTTAAAAAAAGTATTGTAGTTGTAGCTGATGCAGTTTAGTCAGGAAACAAATCTAATCTGTGAAAGGAAAAAAAAAAAGGATTTATTAAAGCAGTTGGAAGAATCTTGGTGTTGGCTTTTTAAGTAATTTAGGGTGTTTCCTAGAGCCATTTCCTACTCCTTACATTGGTAATACGATTTAAATGAATTTGATTAGCACTTAGGAAATGATTTAAGTGCTTTTCACTGTTAAAATGGAAAACTTCACAATGACTGTGGTGTGACATGACCCAGTATATTACTTAAGGTAATAATGATTTCCTATGTCTTGAGTGTATATGTCTATATTTGCTGTCTAGGTGAGAGGAGAATAGAGAGACCTGTAATTTTACAGTGTGTCAGAGGGTATTTTTACATTGGTTCCCAATCAACTCTGTCATGTCATTCTTAGCATTATCTCTTCATCACTGTGATCATCACTCTGTTTTATATTAAATTCTTCTATCGTCTCTCTTTTTTTTTTAGAGATTTATTTATGCATACAAGAGCTATGGTGCAGGCCAGAGAGGCGGGGGGTGAGAGGATTCATCAGAGACAGAGTGGGAAGAGAACAGGCAGACTGACTGAAATACACTGCTAAGGGGAGCAACGGATGAGACGGGAGAGGTCTGCCACGCCATGTGGGTTGTTCCCTGACTGGCTGGGGATCGAACTCATGCTGCCGAGGCTGCAGATTGCTTCATAGTGTGGTGCTTAACTCCTTGCGCCACCAGGGAGGCACCCCCCGTTCTATCTTCTCTTTTTCAAGAAGCTTGTGTATCTTTTTTACCTTTAACAAAGGATTCATTTTTTCCTGGATATTTTTCTGTCAATTTACTCCTAGATCATCTGCTTCTGAAGAAGATGATAAGGAAGATAGAGCCTGGGAGCCACAAAAGAAGGTTCCCAGAAGCCGTAAGCAGCCTGTTCCCAAGGAATCCAAACCAAAGAAGGTGCCAAGGGTGAAAAAGAAGACCCTGCGGATTGGTGATGACTCAGAAGGCGTGAGCGTTAAGGAGGAACTAGTAGGTGCTTTAGCTGGATAGAGGGAACACTGTAGTGCTTTCCTATTGATGATGTTATGTTCTACTTAAATAGACTGGACAGAGCATGGAAATGACAAAAATTGCAGGACAGTGGGTCTTAGTATTTACCATCAGATCCATTGTTTTGGAGTTAAAGAAATCTTTTTTAATGGGCATATATTTAGTTCTTGCTATAAGCAAACACTATGTATTCCAATATAGATTAAAACTACAGCAATAAACGATATGGTATTTTGCATTACAAAAAGAACTATGCATTTCCAAAATCGTTCATTATGTTATTCCTTTAAGTAATAGCTCCCATATCCTTTTAATATGGAGTGGATGCCTGACTTCCCATGGACACATTTATTGCATATAGTAGGGGATGGTAGTTGTACCTTTCTGTGCCCTGATAGGACTCTTGAATCAAACATTTGTCTTATTTTCTAGTACCTCTCTTTCTTCATTTTTATATTTGAGCTTTTCAGTGAACATACTTTGAATGAATTAGTGGGTTTTACCTACAGCTGAAAAAGTGTAGACTTCTCTCATGTTGTTGGCAGAATTTGGAGGTTTTTCATTAATCTTGGCTTTACACGTAAATTGTCTAACCTCGGAAAATACTGTGGTTCAGTGATTGTTTATATTGGAGTCACAGACCCTTTGAAAATCTGATAAAAGTTACGCCCCTCTCTTGAATAAACTGCACGGATCCCATTTTCTAAGTTTTAAAGAATAATTCAAGACATTACAGCTAAAAACCCTAACAACCAATGTGAATTCTTGATCTTTTCAGTGGTATTTGGTATATATATATATTTTTAGTATTTATTTATGCATATAAGAACTGGGGTACAGGCCAGACATGCAGGGTGTGAGAAGATCCACCAGAGACAGAATGGGGAACAGAACAGGCAGATAGACTGAAATACACTGCTGAGGGAGCAGTGGGCGAGACATGAGAGGTCTGCCTCTCCATCTGGGTTTCTCCCTGGCCTGCTGGGGATCGAACTTGTGCTGCAGAGGCTGCGGATTGCCTCACAGTGTGGTGCTTAATCCCTTGCACCACCAGGGAGGCCCTGTATTTATATTTTTTAAAGGGAAAAAGAGAACTCAAATAGAAAGTCTCTCACTTAAAAGGCAGTGTGGGTTTTTCCAAATTTTGCCCAAATTTGCTTGTTTCATAGCTCATGAAAGCCAGAAGTTTTCATGTCACTAGGTTTGGTATTTTCCTGTGCTGAAACCACAGCCAAATTAAATAACTGAAAACCCTATTTTTGTTACAGTTAGAAAGGCTGGCCTTCTAATAATTTAAAAATCTATTTTGAGTAAAATCACAAGCAAAATTCATCATTTAGTTTCTTCTTCATGTTGTTGGCATTTACCAACCCATTGACCATGCTCAAGTCATTGAAGACTTTAGCTGCTGCTTTGTGTATCTTTTGCTCTGCCATCTTCTGTCATTATTCTTAGTGGTTTTTCTCCCTTATTTGGATGAGCCAAGTTATATACTCTGTGTTCTTGGTTCTTTGACCTCCTCTTCTCCAATAACCTTTTCTTCTTCTCTGCCCTTACCACCCATTTCATAATCTTAACTTAAATCTTGTCATCACCAGAAACTATGCTATTGTTGACTTTTTTTTCAACCGCCCAACTTGTGTACCCTCATCTACTTTCCTTCTAGCTCACTTGTTCAAGTGCCCTCACTGTCAATAACTTTGCAGCCTTGACATAACCTCTTGTCTGTGGTTCTCAATCTTAGCTGCAAAATAGAATCACCTGGAGAACTTGAAAAATGTCAGCATGTAGGCCTGATTTCCAGACCATTTAAATCTGTAAAAAATTTACAGATTTGGGTGGGGCGGGGGGGGCTATGCCTGTGTTGCTTTTAAAACTCCTCAGGAAAAACCAAGTTTGAGAACCACTACTTAATTCCTTCTTTTCCCATCAGGTCTGATCAAGGTATTGACCTGGACCATGTCAGTGTCATAAAGCTCTGCAGCCTGGTAATTGTTGGCCTTGACTCCCACAATGAGCACAAATGGTGTTGTCTTGTCTCTTCTTCATGACTGACTCACTGGTCAGGGAACTTGATGAAGGTGTAGTAGTCTGGGATGTTTCTCGTAGGGGCATACTTCTGAGGATATTTGGGTTGCCCTCAGAACCAGTGTCTTGAGCTGTTGGAAGATGGGTGACATGTAGATCCTTCTTTTGTGACTGTGGCTCCTGCTTTCTTTGCCTTCAGAGCGTTTGCTTTGACTTTGGCTTTGGAAGGAGCAGGGACTTCTTTGCTTTCTGCGCACATTTTCACAAAGATGGCTACCTTTTTCTCTTGTCAGATTTTCTTCTGCTGGCTCAATCACTAGAGTATAAAAATTTGATCATTTGGAAAATATTGGTTCACTGATTTATGCAAATCTTCCAAATGTTAGCACTTTTTTTCACACAGTGTCAAAAAATCACATTTGTTACTATAACCACTCGTCTCATCACAGTGTTGGGAAGCTGTCAAGCTCACAGGCAGATAGAGATTTTCCAATATTCAAATTTTCACTTTAAAAGGTGAATTTTATTATTGGTCCCAAATGTCAGGTGCTTCCTTGAAGTAGTGACAGTCTCACTTAGTTCATTTATGATAAAATGTCTGTCAGAAACCCAAGTTTGAAAAACCATAGTTTTTAAGTCACTCTTTCAAGTAAGAGAGGTCTTTTATGGAAAAAAGAAGCTACTTCAACTCACAACTCAAAAGGTTGCATGAGTGCTTTTCCTCGACAACCACTGCTACCATTTCTCTTGCATCTTTAGTGAAATGACAAATAATGAAAAAAGCAAATAATGTCTTAGTATTATCATGACACATCTACAAGACTCTCATGGTCCTTACAGGTCTGTGGACCACACTCAGAGTCACAGTAGATAAATAGTGCCCGAAGACTCCAGAGAAATCTGATTGTTGGTTATCTTTTTTCCCCCCATACTTTAAACTTCCACCTTTAGTCATTTTAGTTTTTCTTCATCAATTTTCTATTCCCTCTCCTTGGAGGTGGTGTAGGTATGGTAGCAGTGGTAATGATGGTGGTAATGATGGTGGTATTAGTATGGTAGCATTAGCAATGATGGTGGTAAGCATTTGGGTGCTTACCATTAGCCAGGCAACATGCTCAACATCTTACTTAATCCTCACAACAACCCCCGGAATTGGTGCTATTATTTATCCTGATAGATGAGAAAGCAAGAGAAAGGCAAGAGACTTTGACTTACGCATAGATTACTGACAGTAAGTGATTTCTAAGTCAGTATTAGAAATCTATTCTATTTTGTTGTTATATTTCAACAACCAATATATTTTTTATGGATGTGTTTGCTGTTGTATAAGAGTGATGTATAAAACCAGTGTGCTGAGTAGATATAATCATCACAAGGACTTGAAATTCTTTTGATTATCACTTCTTCTCCTTGGAGGCTAAACTAATTAGGGAATTAAATAACAATCAGAAATTCACTTGATGAGCATAGACTACAAGTAGGAGAATTAGATAAAGCCATTCATTTGAATTTACTGAATGCCTGCTATGGTCCAGGCACTGTGCTTGTCACAATGAAAATCCGATGATTTATTTGCATGAGTCTAAGGTACTCTGATGTATTCATCTCATGCAAGATTTCTTTACCATTGGAACTAAAATACTCAATCTGTTTGCTTAGCTTTCCTCCTCCTAGTATATTTCTTAGAAGAATGATGATCATATTTGCTTTTTACACTTCTTTTTCTTCTCCTCTGTGACTGATAACCCTCTATAAGATTGACACTTTTTTAGCTAATGTGAATTCATTTAATCAGTTTATGAACTCTTATGGACCTAAAGTTCATTCTATTGCTGTATGTTTGTTCTTATCTGTTACATTTTCAGCTAAAAATGTAATACTCAGGGGCCTCCCTGGCGGCACAAGGGGTTAAGCACTGCACTGTGAAACAATCCGAAGCCTCTGCAGCACGAGTTTGATTCCTGGCCGGCCAGGGAGCAACCCACATGGCACAGCAGACCTCTCTCCCTTCAGCAGTGTATTTCAGTCAGTCTGCGTGTTCTGTTCCCCGCTCTGTCTCTGGTGAATCCTCTCATCCTCACATATCTCATCCTCCCACTCTTGTATGCATAAATAAATACATCTTTAAAAAAATTATTTAAAAAATGTAATACTTAGATAACTATTTATGTACATTATTTCTAGGTTCAGATAGTGGTGGGTGGGCATTGGGGGTTGATATGTTCTGTATTGTAGCTCCCAAAATTTTCAGCAGTCAGCAATCCTGGAAAAATATTTGATAGGAGAGAGAATTGAATTTTGATGACTGACATTTAGTTTGCGAGTTGCTGTCTGTTCACATTGTGCCATCTGAATCTTTTAGGTAGCTGGAAACAGCCTAGCTGGTGAAATTGTAAATGCCATGTAGCAGGATCTGGGTCTATTTGTATTAGAGGTAACTCTAGTGCCACAATGAGGGCCAGGTCTCCATCCTTTACACCTGCCTGTCACTTTCGGGGGGAAGGAGGGACAGTGGTGGTGCAGAGAGTAGCCATAGTGGTGTGTGCACTGCTCTGCAGACTCCTAATAAAGAAAGTGCATGCACTTGCCTGCTGTTTGATGTTTTTTTTGTCTTCTCACCTTCTGCATAAATTAGTGACAAAGATAGCCTATTGAGTTTTACTAGTGTGTGCTACTTCTCTAACCTAAAGGTTTGACTTTTTTTTAGGCGGCAAATTTATTGTAAAAAG